CTTATTACTTCAAAGAGATACTAAAAATACAATGTATATGATATAATACCCAATTTGTATAAGAAAGAATGTGTGTTTAGACCATTGTCATTAACTATATTGGGGCTTAACTCTATCATTTTTATTTTGTTTTATTTTTCATTTTTCTTTTCCCATGTCTTCCTTTGGGTTACTTGAAGATTTTTCTAGGATTTCATTTTGATTTATTTGTGATGTCTAGAGTATTATTTTGTTAGTATTTGTGGGTTCATGTGGTTTTATTATGAGAGAGAGAAAGAGAGAGAGAGAGAGAGAGAGAGAGAGAGAGAGAGAGAGAGAAAGAGAGAGAGAAAGAGAAAGAAAAAATCTATTAGTCTATTGATAGCAGTCTTTTCTAATTTGAGTATAGTATGAATATAATACTCTCAATTATGTTCCTTTATCCTCCCACTTTTAATTTTGTACCAATAATCATACACAATTCAGACAATTGATGCAGAGAAGGAAATCCTTTGTATTTACCCACATTTTTCTCTATTGTTCTCTCCTCCTGATGACCTGAGATTCTTTATGATTTCTTTTGGGGTCTTTTAGCTTCTGTTGCTTCATATGAGAAATATGTTGCCATTCAAATTGTTTTCTTCCTATGGATAACGTGTTGTTTCTCTCTGGCTGCTTTCAGGATGTTTTCTTTGATTTTAGCTTTTAGAAGTTTAATTATGCTCTGTTTGACACAGATTTCTTTGGGTTTATTCTAACAGAATTTTGAATTTTTCAAAGTTTATGCCTTTTGCCAAATTTGGGGGCATTTTTAGCTATTAACTCTTTGCGTGCTCTTTGAATTTCATACTTTTCCACTCATCTCAGACTCCAAAGCTCTAAGTATTGAATCTTTTGTTACTGTTCCATAGGTTTCTAAGATTCAGTTCATTTTCAGTTTGTTTTCTCTTTGTTGTCAGTCTAAGTAAATTATATTGCTCTATCCTCACCTTCGCTGATTCTGTTCTCTGTCAACTCTGCTCTGCTATTAAGCTTATGCCATTAGTGTTATTTTTTTTCTCAGTTCTATAAATCTATCTGTTTTTAAAACAACACTGAGATTTTTTGTTTTCACTTGCTTCAAGATTTTTGTTTGGTAACTGTTGAATCTTTTAAAATATCTGTCTCACATCAGTGTAGGAATCAGATGATAATCTTTTTCATTTAAGTTGTGATTTTCTTGATTCTTTTCATGATGGATGATTTTATTGTATGAGATATTTGTAGTCTGGGTTATATTTAAATATAAATATTCTAGCTTACGTTTACAGTGTTCAATTACATCTAGTTTTCTGAGGCTTTATGGTACTAATTTGGTCTGTATGGTTTGTCTCAAGCCTGCGAGGCACCTGCAGTTCTTGTTGATGGTACTCAAGGAGTTGAAATGGACAAAGGTACCTCCTGGGCTGGGTTCCATTGTGGCAGAATTTCCTTCCCCAGTGTCCTCTATAGAGTGAAGTCTCCAGGAGGGAGAGAAGGATTTCAAGCCAATGAAAAAGAAAAACACTTCTTCAGGTGACTTTAACAAAGCTCCTCTGACTATTTCCACGGCCTTGTCTAATGTGGGCCCAACTCTTGTGCAAGTTGAAGGAAGCATAAGTCTACTCACCTATTTTCTGTTGTTATATTGAATGTTGGGAAATGGGGGCCCGGGTTACCTTCTGATGGATGGAGGTCAAGAAGTAATAAAATGTTCTACTGTTATATTGTTCTTTTGGTCTTCTGGTTCCTAATCCATTAACCTTCCTCTTTAGTCATGCTTAGCAGGGAGGTGCAGATAAATCTATGCCATGTTATCCAGAACAAAAGTTCTTCATATGTGCTCATATCAACATAAAATCTTTTAGATGGTACTGAAAGAATTAATGCTATTTCCTTGGAGTTACCAGGGAGATATGAAGTAAGAGGGCGTTTATTTGTATACGTCTTTGAATGCTCTCATTTTAGTAAATATAAAAATAAAATGTGAAAGAAAAAGTCTTCTAACTCAACCTTCTTTCCCAGAAGACACAGAGGTCAAGCAGCTTATGGATTCAACAGTTGGTAATTTTATTAAATTTGACTGAGTTTTAATTTCACTATGTTGTCACTGCTGTGATCCAGGTCCCTGAATATAAGAATGATATTCTCAGTGGATTTGAAGCTAGCTCATACATTTTGAATAACTTGCAGAATACAAATGTGCAATTTAGATAGAAGTAGATGCTTTTGGCAGCATACTAGTACCCTAATCAGCTGAAAAAATAATATTTGTATGACATTAAAACAAAATTAATAGCAAGACACTGATTACATGAAAAGACTTTGTTGTGATTATTAAACTTGCAAACAACTCAGCATAATGAATGACTAGGATATGACCTAAAATTTTAGTTTAAAAAATTAATAAAGACAATTAAAATTTTTATTTGTAAAGCAAAGTGAGTTTTTAAGAATCACAAGGTAGTGGATATAAATTTTTCCTCCTTGTTTGGGGAATGTGTTTGGAGGCATTGAGCTTACAATATAGTCGCTTTCATTCCCAGAACAAAGCCCTAGCATAGTAGCTCAGCCTGAAGCCTCAAGAATACAGGATAGTCACCTTCAGACAAGGCTGTCTACCAGTGGGGCCTGGATCTCTCCTAGCTAACTGTCTTCTGGATAGCTCTTGGGGAAAATGACTCCAAAACTTCTCCTTCCCTATCAATTAAGTAAAATGTAAACTATAAGATGAATACCATAACCTACCATTTTCACAGAACTATATGGATTCAAATGGAAATTTATACTATTGGTGTTTATTATTCAATACAAGCTCCTGTTTTATTTATTTATTTATTTATTTATTTATTTATTTATTTTTGGTCTTTTTGAGACAGCGTTTTATTTTGAAGTTCAAGTTGGACTTGAACTCACTTTGCAGCCCAGGCTGGTCTCAAACTCCCAGTGATCCTCCTTCCTCAGCCTCCTGAGTGCTGGGATTACAAGTGTGTTTCACCATGCCAGACCAATAGAAGCTTCTTGAAGGTATTTAAGGTTTCAGAGTAGATAACAATCGATAATTCAGTAAATATTTGTGGGCTAGTGATTTGGGAAAAAAGTAAACTGGGACTTCTATCTCATTTCTTAGATTAAAAACAACCTCCAAATAGACTAAAGACTTAGTGTGAAGACAAAATTATGAATGTATTAGATAGAAATTAATATTTTATGATATTTTAATGGACAAAACTTTTTAACTGTAACAAAACAGGAGTCATAAAGGAAATGACTAACAAACTTGTCATTAAAAATTTTAGATTTATATATGTTAAAAATCCCATGAATTAAAAAAAGAATATAACCAAAATGAAATGAAGTAACATCAAAATTATATTTGAGTCACTGTTTTTTCTACTAGGGCATAGCTTTATTCTTCAATAAGCAAATAATTGAAGCTTTGCATCATGATTTATACACAAGGATATTAAGTATAGGGAGAAACTAAAAGAACTTATGTATTAAATGATAGCTTATATTATAAAATAATTAAATAAATTAGAGAATAATCATAGGTTTCAACCAATAAAAATTATAATAACATTAAGACATTTTCTTTATCATACTTATTAAAAAGATAGAGAATATAGATGAATTCAATTTAAATTTTAAATACCTAGCCAAAAAGATGGAGGAAATAAAATATCACTGGTATGTATTTTTAGGGTAGAATTACAGACAAATGATACTGCTTTCATAATTTGCAAATTTTCTCCAATAATTTTATATTCAATACTCAGTATGTATGTCTATTCCTTGTAGCATTAAATAAAAAGCTACTTCAATTTTCCCCAATGTAGCTAACCTAGTATTAAAGCAAATACAAAAGATCAAACTTAAGGACTTAAATAATGTAGTTTACAATATAGTAATTATGATAAACCCTTTTTCTTTCAAAGAAAGAAAGAAAGAAAGAAAGAAAGAAAGAAAGAAAGAAAGAAAGGGAAAGAGGGAGGGGAAAGATCCTTCTATAATATTTACAAATGTATCACATGGACTAATTTATAGCTATAGTATGTGGTTGACTCCTCTCCTCTTCTCTCCTTCCTTTTCCTCTCTCTCTGTCTCATCTCTCTGTCTCTTTCCTCTCTCTCTCTCTCTCTCTCTCTCTCTCTCTCTCCTTTCCTTCTTCCTTCTCCCGACTCTCTCTTCCTCTCCCTCCTTTTTTTCTGTGGAGCCTGAAATACTGGATGCCATTTCCTAAGATTTGGTATTATCATAGACAGCTAAATTAGGTAGAAATGTTGTAAGCAGTCCTACAGGACTGGGCTCACATTACAATTATGGCCAGAGGTACATCTGTTGGAGGCCAGGCCTCAAGATAAAGACAAAATTACCAGGCCTACATGCCTCCCTGAGAGATAAACAATAAATTTACATTAACATCAGCTTTCCCAGTGGGTGGCCAGAATCCCCTAGTTAGTGTCTTCCTAAAGAGGTCCTTGTTCTTTCCATGTATACTTGCTATAGGACCTGCTTCCCTATTAGATCAATATTACCTAAATGGCCAAATTGTAACCTTATTGGTTGATCACAGTTTTGTGTTGCATTTTGCCCACCTCATGACTTTGTACCTACATAAAACTTCCTCTGTAAATGGCAACCCACTTGGAGCCCTTCCTGTCTCTCAGAAGCTATTCCTACTCCCCAATAAATTTTTCTACTCTTAACCTCCATTGTTCTTTAGACTTGATTTTGGGGAATGCATATTCAGCATGTCTGACATCTAGCAGATTGGGAGTCACACTTATTTCCCATACATCAGTATCACCAGATAATTCTTTTGCAAAATCAATATTGTTTACTTTGAACTGCTTATGTTTCAGAGTAGGGAACATGGGGACCAAAGTAGGGACTACTTGATCTTGGAAAGAAGCTTATGCTTTTAACTGGAGCTACTTGTCAGCCACAAAATAACCATTACTTATAGCATAGGAAATATCACAATTGAAACTCATCTGTACCTGTAGGTTTTCTTAATCTCTTCATTTGATGCTCCCTTATGCAGACCAAGAATTTCATATAGAGTTTCTCCAGCTGTTGACATAGTCCGCTGTCTTTGGTTAGGTAGGTTACATGCCATTTTCCTAGACTGAAAAACCAAAGAGAAAAATAGTCATAAAGGTTATACACACTAAATTTCTCTCTCTAAAAGGGAAAAGATAGTCCATTTTTAAACATTTATAAAATGACAATGTGAAGTATATTTATGCGCTCTTGCAAAATGAAACGAGAAAACAGTTAAGAGAGCTGAAGTAGAGCCTCCAACCAGGGGATCAAAGGCAGACACACACAGAAGCTATATGGAATATAGCTTCATCCACACAGTTAAATTAAAGATATTGCTACCCAAATATGTAGCTGGCTCCAAAGTGTTAATAACCAATCCTCAAAGTTCAGGCAAATTTAAGTTTTTCATTTTATTTTGGGTAGAATTTGTGTAATTTCTGTTTTGTATATTTTCCAAATTTAGCCAGCAATTTTATTCCAACTCTATTGAGCTGGCCAGTGAACAAGACTTTTAAAAAGGAAAAAACAAAACAAACAAACAAACCCATCCACCCTTAATTTAAGAATCAGGAGAACATTCATGGTCTCTTCTAGGACTACAGTTGGAGCTTCTGTGCAGCTGTCAAGTCCCTAAACTGCGCCACAGCCTGCATTACTCCTGGGTCCTGTGCTCCTTTTCCTATGATTTATTCAGTAAAGATTAGGCTGTTTAGGTCCTTGGGAGCTATTTACCTGTTGTATTATGGTTTTGGAAGCCTCAGAGACACAAACACACCTAGGGTCATTCCTATATCTACCATTTAGCACTAGTATCTTCACCTAAACATAAGGATAATACCCCATTCGTAAGAGCATCTTAATGTTTGTATAAAAGAAAACTCCCAGATGGGCAGGCTATCAATCATGAAATCTAGGTATTATTGGTTTCTCTGCATTGAGAGGGGTTGAAACTAATCTGCATATGAGGAGCAGTGGTGTGAGGCAGATGAAGCCTTGAGCCTCAGTGGGGCTCAGTCCTCTGACCCCAGTTGTTCCTAGATTTACTTGCATCTTCCCTTCCAACAATATGCCAATCCATCCTTTCATATTTTGAGCCAATAAAATTCCTCTCTATACACAGAATTACACATTTTTCTTTTGATTCTGTTTAGCTAGGTTTTGGTTACTGCCAACCATGACTCATAAGTGTCACATACCCATCTCAATTAAGCACTGGTAGTGTCCTGAGCAGTCTTACCAGGCTGCTACACTGTTTTGCTTTGTTTGGTGGAACCGGGGATTGAACTCAGGCCTTTGCACTTGCAAGGCAAGCACTTATTCTACTGAACTATCTCCCTGGACCCTACATTGTGGATTTTCTTAAATCTCTGTATCTGTTCTTTCTTTGAGTTGAATGTAGCTTCTAGGTGCTTGGGAAAGAATACTTTACACTGACATTCAAACCAAACAAATTCATCTGTATTGCATAGACATTACTAGTACATAAAGAAAAATTATTAGTTATTACTCCCTAAGCAACCTTGTGTCATGTGTTACTAACTTTGCAAAAGTATAAATAAAGGATCATTTTATTGTGCTGGTGAGTGAGTCTTGTCCATCAGGCAGACCAGTGACCACTTAACCCAGCTTTTGTCTTCTTGTTTATCTTTCTCATTCTTGCTGCCATTTCTCCCCAGGTAGGACTGATCTCAGTGAGACCAATAGATCCCAACATTTGGCACCCAACTAGGATGCCTGGTATGAGATAAATGTGAGTGGAGGAATCACTTTCAAAGAGCAGGCATCAGGGAAGGAAGTAGATTGATTGGAGCCAGCAGTAGTCTGCACAGGTATGTGTTGGTGCTGGTGCACTATGTGTAAAACTTGGGGATGAAGGCTCATTAGGGCCAGGAACAAGTTCACTAGGGCCAGGAGTGGCTCACTAGGGCCAGAGAGACATGGGAGCACAAAGAGATAAAGAGGCTTGAGAGAAGCTTAACAGGGAAATGTTTGATTGAGTTAAAAATGGGAAACAGAGTTTCAAGGACCATAAATGATTATAGATATACATAAAAATGTTTATTGTTTTCTTGGTTTTTGTATTTGTGCTACTTTCTAAGACCACTATGAAGGACTTAAAGTGGAATACTGTTCTAAAATTAAATTCTAAGCAGGATACAGAGAGTAGAGCAAAGGTACAGCAGATAGAGTTTAAACCCTATGGCTTTGCTCAATTAAAAAAAAAATAGAAAAAGTGCTTTTAACTTGTCACTAGTTGGTTCCAAGCAGCACTGGGCTGTTGGGGGAAGATGCACACATTGGGCTTTGGGAGGCTCTACACTCTGCAGTCTTAGGCAGACCCAGATGGGATTCCCCTGCCACCTGCACATCTGTTTGCCCCATCCAGCCACAGAGGTTGCTACATACCACCAACTGTAGTCCTGTGCACCTGGTGCTACCTAGGAAGGTCATGACTGTAGTACGCAGTGGCCTTGGCACTGGCTATGTGCGTTGTTGGTATCACAGATTTGTTAGACTCAAGATAGTGTCTATGGTTAAAATCTGGGCAAAAACAAAACACTCAATGGATTTTAAGGAGCCACAAGCCACAGTTCTGGCTATGGCAGCTCAGGGAAATTTCACTAAGTCACAGATGGGGATTTAAGCCTTAGCTGAAGTAGAGTCATTTTTTTTTATCTCCCTTGCAATTGGCATTGAAAAAAGCCAGCAAATATGTAAGCAAAGTAAGACAGCTAGGATTAGGGCCTGGAGGGAACTCCCTTGTAGGAGTGAAACATCCCTTAACTTGGCTTCTCTTAGGCAAGACCCTGATGAACCTTTCCAAAATATTGCTCCACATTTATTGCAAGCTATGGAGAGGATTATCAGTGACATGGAAGCTGGAAAATTAATAGTTCAACAATTGACCTTCAAAAATGTAAATAAATGGGCTAAAGAGGCTTTAAGAGCCCATAAAAAGTGGCTACACTGTCTGAGATGATTCAGATTTGTGCAGATATTGGCCCTCCAACATGCAGGGTGCTGTCTTGGCAGCAGCTGTTAACTCAGGGTATTCATCCACAGTCTAGAAAAGCAAGGTCATTTGTTTTCATTGTGGGGACAAAGGACACTTAGCCCAAAACTGTTCTGCTGCACCTAAGACAACACAGCCTTTATCTGTCTCGTTAATAAAACCCTACAGTCTATGTATTAGATGTAGACCAAGGTATCATTGGGCAAGTGATTGTAGATCTAAAACTGATGTGGAAAGCCAACCCATTCAGGGAAACTTCCAATGGGGCCCATCTTGGCCCTATCAAACAATGGGGGGGCTTTTCCCTCCCCCACCAGAAGCAACTTTGACCTTTGGAGAGCAACAACCAATAGCGGAGGCTTGGACCTCAGTTCCTCCTTGAGACTCCTATTGACTCCTGATATGGGGCCCAAATAACTCCTACCGGAGTCTATGGACCTATGCCTTGGGGTTCAGGGGGAGTCTTGCTAGGCTGCAGCAGTCTCATTTTAAAAGATCTCCAGATTTTTGCCTTGTGTCATCGGTGCTGATTATGCAGGGAAATCAAAGTCACAATTCAATCCACCAAAACAATTGTATAAACCACAGGAGACTCTTATATTCCTTAACTGGGCATTCTTTGTTTGATAAAAATTTTAAAATTAATAAAGAAAAAATAGGAATTGGTTGAGTAAAGGAAAAGCATTTTAATGGAGTTTTTTAAATGCAAGTGTGAATGGCCTCCAGGTAAGGCAGCTGGGTTGCCCACCTGGAGAGATAAAGGGGGCCATTCCTCCAGGAGTAGAGCTTAGCAGAAAAGCAGGAAGTAGAGTGGTTGTCTCTTTCCATTACAATTGACACTGGAAGAAAAGTTCTTACATTTTCTCATTAAGGTGATTAAATTAAACAGTTTATTTCCACCCTAAATATAAAAACAATTTGTTTAAAAAAATTCTGGAACATTTACAATAGTGGGAATATTTTTAAAAATTAATTTTAAAAATCTTTTAATTCCTAATAAAGGTGATTGTTTTATGGCCCTAAATCAAAATTGGTATGAAAAAAGGCTTTGATATTTTACAAACAAGTCTAGAAGTTTGGAGTACAACCTAAAACAGTAGCTTGATTTTGACATCCCACTTAAATAATAAAAGGCCTAGTGGTGACCTCCAAAGGGGTATAAAGCTCTGACAATTTCTTCATATTTGGGCCTCCTAATGCTTACTGTGTTAGCAGATTAAACAAAATCGACCAGAAATGAAGTTGACTAGTGAAGGAAAAGCATTTAAGGGGATATTGGTCACAGGTACAGATGTTTCAGTTATTGCTCAGCATCACTGGCCTGTGGCATGGCCTCTGGATGTGGCCACTACACATTTATAAGGAGTGGGCAAGGTTTCTTATCCTAGCAGAAGTGCTAAATTGCTAACTTAGAGGGCTGCCAAAGGCCATTCCTGATGTTTTTCTCCTTATGTCCTCCCCCATATACTGGTCAATCTATGGGGTCATGATGTATTACAAGGTATGGGAGCACTGCAGCAGGGATTGCTCAGTCCTGTAGCTGTCTATTCCTTTCCATTTTTTCCTTATGGTGATTGATTTAAAGACTTTTTCTTTTGTATCCCTCTCCACCCTGAAGATAAAAAATGTTTTGCTTTTCATTAACCCTGAATTAATAATCAGGCCCCCAGGTGCCAATTTCAATGGTGTTGTCCACCACAAGGTATGGTGAATAGTCTAACCCTGTGCCAAGAGTTCATGGCTACAGCCATTTGGTCACTGCGACAGGTCTATCCATCTGTATACATTATGTATTATATAGATGACATTCTCTTGACACATGAATTCCCATCCATTTTATAGCACTTGTTTATCCAATAAGATGATGCTCTCTGCAGTGCAGGTCTAATGATAGCCTCTCAAAAGGTACAAACTATGACACCCTTTCATATTTGGGACACCTTATTAAACAGAGGTAAACTGTGCTCCAAACTATTCAGATCCAGATTAGATACCTCACAACCCTAGATGATTTTCAGACTCTACTTGGTAACATTAATTGGCTCCCCTCAGCTCTTATGCTAACTATT